GGACTATAGTGCGTCTAATTGACTCCCATTGTCCAATAAAAATAAGAAGACCATGCAAAGGGGCATGGAGCTCTCCGCCGCCGCCTGCGACAACTTCTGCCTAATCATCAACACAGAGAAGACGTTATTTGTGCATAAATCGCCACCCAAGACCGCTGCAAGTGCACTGGAGCGGCCACCTCGTGCAGAGGGACGACGAGCAGCTACCCAAACGACTCTTCTACAGAGACGCCGCCACGGACTCCCGCCAACACGGAGGTCAAGCCCGTCGTTACAAGGACACTTTTAAGACTTCCCTGGAGAGTCTTTAGACCAACCCGACCAAATGGTATAAACTCACTTGGAACCGACCGACCTGGAGGAGGGCAATGAAGACAGCCGCAGCGATCTATCAAGCCAACCGTATCACCACCGCCGAGGCCAAACGCGAGGTTCGCAAATCTCACCAGCGCCCACTCCACCCCTCAACGCTAAAGCTCAACTGCCCCCAATCTGTACACGCTGCCAGCGGACGTTCCGGGTATCAATCAGTTTCATTGGACATCTTCCTACCAACTGAAGCACCTAGACGACACCACCTAATGTCCCGCCGTCCGCCTCTGCCTCCCCCCACGTCTACAATCAACACTGACCGTACTCCTGAACCCCCAATAGCCTCTTCCTCCTCCATTACTTCAACATTTGCTACGACAGCTCCTGTACCCACCACCACTGCACACAATTCTGACACACCAACAAACATCAACCCTCCACCAACAACCCCAGCGGTGTGGACTCGGTCTATACCTGTTTTCATTGCGATTGCTCCTTCACCTCACCCATCGGCCTATTCGGTCACTTACGAGTCCATCGCACAGAGACTGACGAATCAGCGCCTGGAGCACCAACCTGCACTTGTCGCGTTCACCTCAACCGCCCTTACTGCATCCGCACGTTCATCCACCATATGGGCCTATTAGGCCACATACGCATTCACGATAACCTGCGGTGGATAACCGCCGGCTAAACCACACCATCACGTATTCCTCCACCTACCTCACGCAACATATAGGCGTCTAGGCTCCGTTTCCATGCGACCGCTACTGCATGTGTGATTCGAGTCTGAAGCTACTACGTCGCGCCGAACATTGTGGCTTGCAAGGCTGCTGACTGACGCCCCAACTCAGTCCAAGAAGTCTGCCTAGTTATGTATGTTTGTGGGGAGTGGCGGACTGGTGGGCTGAGAACAAAACTCAAACGGTCCCTTCCCAACCTGACCTACAGCATTCTCACGCATGTGGGATGTACGCCGCTCAACTCCCGTTGTGTGAACTCCCGGTGCTTGTGCTTTGGAGGCCCGGTTTTGCATATGGCGTTCAAATACAAGGTCAATAAATAGGTCAGCCACCTCGCCCATTTCCCGCATCAGTTATCTGACCGGCTCGGACAGTGACTGGGACCTGAGAATGAGAAGAGAGAGTAAGGTCGACGATCCAGCGCATTTTCATCATTACAAATAACCTGACGCGCTTGAAACTATCATGGTGCGCTAAACGCTGTGACTTGGAAGGTTGCCAACTGACGGGATATCTTGGATCTCGCAGTCGGCCCAGTGTTATTTGTTTGTGTGCAGCGACCGACTGGTGGTCTAATGGTCAGGCTGCAATGGCTTCTTCTTAATGTGGCCTCTATGGCACTCTCACTCCGTGGGAACCGAGCCAGGTGTGGCGACACGCCTAGGTGCAGCCTCAGTCGCGGCGGCCTCTCTTTGTTGGTTAAATCGTGATCATTTGCTAACACGCAACGAGTTCAGTGAGAAAGGGCACGATTATAATTAAAGTCAAGCATATACTTTATAAAGGCGGGTCTGAGCCTGCCCAGGTTTGGAATTCTCCGTGCTTTCGAAAAGGTACACAGTATGTCTCGGAAAATAAGTAAAACAAAGTACAATATATAGAGATTTTTCACAACTTCCAGCACACATATGTTACGATCATCAATGCTGAGTTGTGGTGAATGGTTAACGTCAAGAGCTGTAACTCAATATACATGTGGAACAATAGAAGAATGCTATCTGCAACATCGTAAGAGAAGCCCTCAAGCATGATGCCATCATCCGCCACTGTATATCAATAGGTGGCTACTAATTTCTCAGCGCGCGTGAACGTTTGCCATCCTGTAGTAGTATAAAGTGAGAGATCACGTGCGTACCAAAACACAACTTTCGATGAATCCACTTCCTGAAGATCTGGGACCGGCGAAATCAGAGGATATCCCAACTCTTAGAATGCACCAGTTGGAATAATACACCATAAACTTCACGAATGTGCCACTTATTCCGGAAGTAGAAAGCTCAAGGGAAGCAGAGGGCTGCCCATGTGGTCGAATAATTTTGCAAAACCGGGACTGATTATTCAAAGTACAAAATCTGCATTTTAGGGTAGTCAGTTGGGATCATAGAAATAGGGCCGCCACGTGTCACAAGTTTGTCCTTTTGAAATTCTGTGCTGAGATACATTTAGTTGAGTAGTCCCTGCCAAATGGGGCTGAAATCTCTTTTATTTGGAGCCAATGTTACCTTTGACGCCGATAGGAGTGTGTTTATTAGACAAAAATTTGCAAATGATATAAAACAGCCCGCCTGCGTTCAGGTATTATATGCGATTTTTTCTTGAACTCGGAAATATCGCACTTCTAACAGCAAGTCCAAGCATTTTTCGTGGCGGAGACAAGAATGACTGATTGACATTTTCCTTGAAGACGCTGAACTGAAATGCCGACTCAACCTAGACTATGTGATTGTGGAAAACGTCCAATGGCTACAGAAACATGCTGTAAGGTGGAGCAAAGAAATTCAACAGCAACCAGCCTCAGAAGCGGGTGATTCAAAGTTTCGGTGGGATTTTCGGCAGGAACGCATAGCCTGGCACGCGCCACCAAGTTTCCACGTGCATCCTGAATAATGGAATGTTATGCTTTGCCGGAAGTCCTCCTTATGTGTGAAAACGGTCCATAATGTTTAACAAGGGGTTTCCGACGAGATTAGTGCTTTTCCAGCGAGCTGTCTTCCTTCGGAAGGACGCCTTTCCCGCCAAAAATATGATAAATTAAAGATAAACTCAGAATTTGCTCTGGACGATGAAGATGTTGAGTAGCCCTACACGGCTGGCGATGTAAAGAAGGGAAAATTATTCTACCATTGCTATAAATTATACTTCTATGGTGCACTAACCAAGAAACAAATGGATTTGAAAATGCGAACAGAGTCGAAAAGCAAAATTAATACCTTACCCAGGGAAAAGGTAGTGCAGCCATCAACTTTTAGGCGCTTTGAATTAAAAAACGCAGTGGTCGCACTGTTTTCCAAAAAGAGGGGAAAACTAAGCCTTTTAGCTGTAGACTAAGGAAAATAGGGTTAGATAATTTTCAGTTGATCACGTAAAATGTTGCTATTGTGATTCAGGCGTTTGGAGACTGGAGTGTGAAGTTCGAAAAAGGAGAAGTTAGAAAATTATGACAAATATCATAATTCATAGTTATTTTGGCAAATTTTTAATAATTCATATTGACCCAACTGTGAAAAACTCGGCGGATCGGTGGGATTCGAACACGCGCAGTAAGGGGAAGGCTTTAGTACAGCCAACGCTCTAACCACTTGAGCTACGAGGCCCCGCCGGACGACGGGAGTTTAATCAGACTTGCGCAGGGGACCCACATAGCACATCGAACCCCGTGTCAGTGGCAGTAGAGCCCACCTCATAAAAGCGGAGAAATTCGCGTATCACGGGAGTATGATTCCGGGAAAAAATCAAGATCGTGGACGAAAACCGAATTCGGGTCTCCAAAGTCAGTCAGGCCTTTGATCGGCCAAAGCACCCCGTCCGGGACGGTCGCGGCATTCTTCTCAACGCAAAGCCGAATATGTACGAGGTTGCTGTCCTCGCAACGCTCTTATACAGAGCGGAACCGCGGACTATTTGTGAAGGCCAAGCAAAAAGACTCAACCATTCTCATATCAGCTTCTCCGAAGAATACTGAAGGTGAAGTGGTAGGAAATGATTCTCGTCAATTATTCATAGGCCTGCAGAGGGACTTATTTTAAATACACTAACTATCGTTAATTAAGAAACCTCGACTTGAAAGAAAGAAGGTTCAATCGTGAAATTCCGGTGGGACTGGCAAAACATCAGCACAATTCGGGTTACAAGATCTGCTCTAGAGATTTTAAGGGACGAAGCTGGTCCATTTTCTGAAGCGGTTAGGATTTCAATCGAGTACTGAATTCAACAGTAAAATACAGGCGTTCTGGGCAGGTTACTGCTAAACATAAAACGCTGGAGTACGTACAACAGTCAGACTGGTCGGCGACCGACGCCGTTGATTATATAGTCTCTTGAATTTGGAGAGTTATAATCATCGCTGGACCGCATTGTCTAAAGTTATGCCTTATTCTGCTGGGAAGGTTTCAGTCCCGTTTCTGTAATTACCTGTTCAAACCCGTAAATTTGGACGCTGAAGAATTTCAAAGAAAGTGGACACCAGTTGCGCATCGGACTTTTTTCCTCCGTAGATTATAACAACAACATACTGTCCTTTCAAGCCACCCATGCTTAATGCAAAAAAGGAAGGCGTTGGCAAAAAAATCGCCTCAGAAAAGCTTTTAAATATTTCATCAGCCCAACAGCCCCATGAATTTACTTGAACGATGAATAGTTTGGTTATTTAGGGTCGAAACGATTTGGTTTAAATAAGTCTCCTCGTGACTTTCACGTACACTCAACCATACATTCAACGAAAAGAGATACGTCACTCTATAGCTCTGATCTTTTCTCACCTTCTGAAATGGCTCCAACTGCGATAATTTTGCAATTTTCTAGAAAGACCACTCGAAATAGGGATGTCGCATAGGCACAAAACGTGTGCTCCGAGAAAATCGAAACCAACGCCACAGGAACTGAATTAAAGTGCTCCACCTCTGCTGCAGCCATGCCCTTCAGCCGAGAGAACTAATCAATAGTTAATCTCAGCTGTCTTCGAAAAATGCCCAGAGTGAAGTGGCAGGGAAGGATCCTAGACCTTGAGATCCTGGGAAGAATCGGCGTCCTCCGTCACTTCGTCATGCGGAGGCCAATTCAACTGCAGTTGAACCACCATGTCGTGAGGGTGGATGACGAGCGTCTGTCCATGCGACTGTTTTACGACGACGTCGTTACGGACCAAAATATCTCCCTAAGGACGCATTAAAGACCTTTCTCAAGAAAAGAGAGAGACCTGCGAGACTCAAGTCCTACGGACCATTAACGCAAGAACCCAATACCTGCCGTCAAGTCAACACTGGCAACGGGCATTCCGGGCACGAATTAACCTCGTCGGACATTTGCGGACTCAGTGCAATGGTAGTACAGCCACCCCACATCCCATTCCACAACAAGGCACCACTACCGTCATCACCAGCGTAACCTATGAGGACATTTGTGATCTTGCAAAAATCATCGCTACTGTCCCTACCACTAAAAATGTGGGCTCAGTTTCCGTCTGTCCCAATGTTGACCGCCAACTTTAACCACAAAACGGCCTGATCAGTCACTAGCGAATAACCTGCACTGAGACCGTAGAGCCGGTACCCGGAGACCCAGCAAGCAGTGAGTGACTGATCTCATGAAATGTTAGCAGAAATTCTGAAATGCGTTTTAAATTAGGAAGGATCACTTAGGCGGGGCTTTAATATATATAAAGTGCTTATGACCCGTCTGGTAGACCCCAGTGGTGGACCAGCTGCGCCAGGTGCGTCTGCGCGTATGTTTGTGTTTCCGGTACCAGCTGGCGGTCAGAGTTATGGTTGGCTGAAGGAAGGCAAACAAGCCCGAAACAGTGCTGTATCAATCTACCCCCAGACTCTGTCGTCTCTCCTCTGCTAGCATAGCTTGGCCGACTTCGGCCTGGTAGGTGGTTGCCTGTTCGTGACCCCTATCGCCCATAC